TCGCTCCTCCTCCTCCTCCTCCTCTTCCTCCTCCTCCTCCTCCTTCATCCCCTTCTTCTCCCTCTTCCCCAATCTCTTCCCCTTCCCCTTCCTCTTGGCCTTCTCCTTCTTCTTTAGAATTTTGATTTACACAGCGAGTTTGAAAATCTATCAGTGAACACAAAAATCAAACATATTGACTGGAAGCATCATCTGTGCATGAATATTCAGAAGCTGACTGTGTTGATTGGCCTTGTTATATATTCAGCATTTCTGGGTGACTCCAATATCGAACCGTTCTCACACTGACAGAACCACCCCAGGGGGAAGCCTGGATCACATTCATTCATTAGCTTATTCGGTCATCCAGTCACTCATTTATTTGGTGGAATTCAGCATGTTCGTCTCTATTTACAAGGTCAATTTTTTTGGCAAGGAAAGTAGCTCAAGTTGACCCACATTTTCCCTTCCTCTGAACCATTGGTTTGGTTTTCTTTCTTCACACAGAATCTAATCAACCTAATTCTTGCCTTGCTTCAGAAAGGTTCTTGCAGGAAGGAAAATGAGTCTTCCTATCGTTACATAAATTCTCATGGGGCTTCCCTTTATAAGCTTATGACAGCCAGGAGTTGAGCCTGGAGCTCTGAGAGAAACAGCCACACACTGATTTATGATGGCAGCTGCTGCTAAATCTCACCCCCTTTCCTTCTTACAGAGCCATGTTACCTTGGGGTTACAAAACCCTTTTCACAGTTATTCAGGGGAATAATAATAAAATGCCAGGTTGCAAGTATAAACATGATCATTCTGTGCCTATTATTGTAAATCAAATTTTACCTTGCATCAGAAGCACAGAAAACATTTTCTGCTGTCAGCCACCTCAAGCCTTTTTAGGAGTCTATTTTTATATAACCCTGGGATGACCTGAGGTATTGTATGAGCTGCCCCAACCTAAGAAGCTGGTCTCACAGGTGATCTGGCTGTTTCTCCTTACACACCCAGCTGACCATTTCCCTTGAGTGAAGTGTTAACTTGATCTAAGCATAGCATTGGGGTTAATGATGTGGGCTCAGGGCTCCAGTCGCCTGGATTCAAAGTTCCGTTCCATAATATACCACGTGTGTGACAGTGAAAAGTCACTTAACTTCTCTGTTATCAGTTTCCTTAGCTTTAAAATAGGGATGATAATTGAGGATGGCTCCATCATCTACTAGGCTTGGGGACAGTGATGGAGGGGAGTCTCTTTCTTTCCCTCTGTATCCTCATTCTCACCTATCATCATGTCATAAAATCTAATCCTGATTTCCTTAGGGTTTTCCCTTTTAATTCTTATGGCGAGAACTATTTTGTTCTCTTTGTATTTCTGCTACAACAAACCTAATTCTTTTATAGGCTACAGCAGAGTGTCAGATTGGTGAGGGACTGGTCCTAATCTTGAATGTCACCACTGTTTGACATTGGTGAAATCACTTCACCCATTAGTGCCCCAACTTCCTCATCTGTAAAATGGGGAGACAAGATTGCCTCAGTTATGGAGTCCTGGGTATTTAAATGAGATAATGCACGTAAAGTGCTTAGCACAGTATAGGGCTGGGCACATGCAAAAAAGCTCATTTATTTATTTATTTATTTATTTATTCACTTATTTATATTTTATTTTAGAGAGTGAGAGAGCGCACGAGTCGGGGAGAGGGGCAGAGGGAGAGAGAGAGAGAATCTTAAGCAGGTTGTATGCTCAGTGTGGAGCCCAACATGGGGCTCGATCCCACAACCCTGGAATCATGAACTAAGCCAAAATCAAAAGTCAGACACTCAAACAACTGAGCCACCCAGGCACCCCCGGGGAAAGCTCATTTGAAAAATGATAAAGGACAGGAAACCAAAGATACGAAAGTCTGTTATTTTTATGGAGTCCAAAACCAAATTTTATTACAACACTGTCTCTGGATGCTAAGCATTGAGTCCAAATTATTAACACTGCTTTGAAATTCTCTCTTCTATTCCCTCAATCCTGTGACTTCTGACATGAGGTCATGACATGATGTCACAATTCACCTCCTGCTCAGATTTGTGAGAATTTCCCGAACTGGTTCTTAGTCTCCCTTACTTTTTGCATCTGGTAGGTCTCTGACAGGATTCATGGTCTCACCTGTGAGAAAGTGAGGTAGGGTTATCATATGTTTTGCTTTTGGTTTTATTTCCTTTGGCTAAACATGAATAATGATATTAGTGAGTGACTATAGAGACTCTTCTTCTGTCTTTGCATCTTTAAGGAATATGTTTCTGGTGTGGGTATCTATGACAGGGGTTGGTTAGGTTTCTGGTCTGTGACAATATGGAAAATTAGGAGTGGTTATTTGCAATTCAAAAGTTTCCCTTTGGTGGCAGTCAGGGAAACCCCTCCAACGTCTTGATTTACTCACTTGGTTTTTCTTCTCTTCTGGGTGCAGGACCAGCTGCATAATTTGTGGAGCCAAATGCAAAATGAAAATGGACAGCTTCTCATTAAAAAATTAAGAATTTCAAGATGGCCATAGGAGAGCATTAGACCAAGAGCAGGACCCTTGTGAGCCTGAGGCCTTCCTGAAAACAAGGCCCTGTGGCTTGTACACAGGTGGCTGGCCCCTGAAGCCAATCCTGCCTGGAAGACAGTGGCGGTAAAGACTTTTAGAATCCTGTAGGTTTGCATTAGAGGACTACCCTTGCAAGTTGCTTTTCTTGGGGGAGAAGTATATGATAAAGAGGACACAGGAATTTATTAGGTCATTAGGGCACATTAGTTTGATGGTTCCCAAGAACTGGAGCCAACATTTTAGCATCCCACTTAAGTGCTGAGAACTTTAGTGTTTTGTACCTAAAACTTTCTTATCGAGATATAATTCACATTTCAGAAAATTCACCCTTTAAAAGTGTGCAGTCCAGTGGTTTTTAGTATATTCACAGAATTGTGCAGTCTTCTTCACTATCTAATTCCGCAGTATGTTCATCCCTCGAAACTAACCCCATGCACTCCTGCCTCAGCCCCCAGCAGCCACAAATCTGCTTTCTGTCCCTGTGGATTTGCCATCTCTGGACATTTCATATAACTGGAACTATACAATTTGTGGCCTTTTATGTCTGACTTCTTTCACTCAGCACAATGGTTTTAAAGTTCATCAATGTTGTAGTATTGATCAGTACTTCATTCCTTTTTATGGCAGGATAATATTTCATCATATGGATATACCACATTTTGTTTATCCACTTATCCAAGGACAGACATTTGAGTTGTTTCTACCTTTTGACTATTGTGAATATTGCTGCTATAGTGAACATTTATGTACACTATACCCAAAGAAATAGGTACAAACATAGTTGCATATTTGTGCACGTTTTTGTGTGAATGTATGTTTTTAATTCTCTTGGGTATACACCTAGGAGTAGAATTGCTGGGTTTTATTGTAACCCTATGTTTAACTTTTTTTTTTTTTTTTTAATGTTTAACTTTTTGAGGAACCTTCAAACTGTTTTCCAGAGTAGCTACACCATTTTGCATTTCCAGCAGTGTATGAGGGTTCCTATTTCTCCACAGCCTCACTAATACTTGTTATTATCTGTCTTTTTTTATAGCTATCCTAGTGAGTGTGAAGTAGTTTCTCATTGCGGTCTTGATTTGCATTTCCTTGATGACTAATGATGTTGAGTATCTTTTCATGTGCTTCCTGACCATTTGTATATCTTCTTTGGAGAGATGTCTATTCAGATCCTTCGCCCATGCTACAACATGGGTAACCTTGAAAACGTTTAAAATTGGGTTATTTGCGGGGCGCCTGGGTGGCTCAGTCGGTTAAGCATCCGATTTCACCTCAGGTCATGATCTCACAGTCCGTGAGCTCGAGCCCCGCGTCGGGCTCTGTGCTGACAGCTCGGAGCCTGGAGCCTGCTTCAGATTCTGTGTCTCCCTCTCTCTGACCCTCCCCCATTCATGCTCTGTCTCTCTCTGTCTCAAAAATAAATAAACATTTAAAAATTTTTTTTAAAAATTGGGTTATTTGCTTTTTGTATTGTTGAGTTACAGAAGTTCTTTATATATACAGAATATTAGATCAACGACTTGCAAATATTTATTCCTGTAGATTGTCTTTTCACTTTGTTGATAGTGTACTTGAAGCACAAAAGGTTTTAGTTGTGTTGATTCCAATTTATCTATTTTTTCTTGTGTTTTTTTGGTGTCACATCTAAGGAACTATTGCCTAATCCAAGTTTAGGAGATTTACTCCTACATTTTCTTTTAAGAGTTTTATAGTTTTAGCGTTACATTTAGGTCTTTGATCCATTTTGAGTTACTTATGCATATGGTATGAGGTAGAGGGCATGTGATTATAATTCCCACTCAGTTTCTATTAAGAAATCATGTGACCTTTGGTAAGTTCCTGAACCTCTCTACTTTCAATTTCCTCATTAATAAAGTAGGAATAACAAATAGTATCTAAAACCATAAGGTTATGGTGAAGAGAAGCATCCTGACTGCTCAATAAACATGGTAGTTATTAGTGTTGTAATATGAACAGTGAGTGAATGATTTCATGGAGGAGGTGCCCCAAAGATGGGCAGCATTTCTGAGAAGTTTGGATGGGGGAACCTTGCTTACTCTACCTGGAGGAGCACGTCTGAGATTGTTACAGGAGTGTCTGTCTTGGATAGAGAACTGTCTCCCTTTCACCTCTAGGGATTGGCAAAATTTCGAATTCCAGGGCCCATCCCAGAACTACGGAAAGGAACCTCCTGGTCACAGAATCTGCATTTCTACCCACTTCTCCAGAGGCAAACTTAAATTTACCAGGCGAGGCGGGGAGAGTGGTGACGGCGATCCCCCAAGCACCGCCGCCTTTGGCCTTCAGGGGGCGGCCGAGGGACCGGGCAGTCACGGCGGCTGCGCAAGCCCTCCCCTCGCCGGGCCGCCAGCCGGATCCGCGCGGCTCAGCTGACAGCTCCAAACACGGAAGAGGCGGTGCCGAGCGCCGGTTGAGCCGGGCGTCTCCAGGCCGGGGCGGCGGTGGCGGTGAGCGGACCAGGGCTAGGGCGGAGGGCGGAACTTTTGGGCCCGGCGCGGCGGGGTGGCCGGAAGCGACGGTGTGGACCGAGCTCCGGGCGCGCGAGGCAGAGAAGAGCGGCCGGGCCGGGACTGCTCAGTGGGCCTGAGCCTCCCAGACCTGGGACAGGGCGTCCCCAGCCCGGTCCGGCTAAGATCCCAACCCTCTTCCCACCCGGGGCGCTCAGAGGAGGAAGGGGAAGGCCCAGGCCCTGTTGGTTCGGGACACCTGGGTCTCGCTCACACCTCACGTTCTTGCAGCGTCCTTTGTGTCCGAGCGCCGGGGCAGGTAGCGAGGCTGGGGCCTGCCCCCGGGTTGTAGGTGAGTCGTACCAACAACGACTCAGCACCCCGGGTGGTGAGCGCTGGGGACACCCTCGGCGGCGTGCTGATTCCGGAGCCAGGGCTGACCCCAGCTCGACACTTTGCACGGTGTGGCCTGGGAGAATGAGTAGGATTTTCGCAGGCCGAAGGGAAACCCGGCGGAGGAGGGCTTCCCTCGCTAGTGTAGCAGTTTCCGTTTGCCGAGACTAATAGTAAACTTAATATCTGTCGGATGGCGCGGGGGTTCGTCTCGTTCCTGGGTTACAGATGAAGAAACAGTGGTCTGAACCCAGATTTAGTTACATATTAGCTGTGTGACCTTGGGCCGGAAACGGACTTAAACTGTCATTTTTCTCATCCGTGTAATACAAATAGAGGACTTGCTGCGTGGGGCTGTGGGAATCTGCCAGGAGTTAATGCATTTAAAGTGCTTAGCACAATGCCTGACACACGGTAAGAACTCAGTGTTACTTTTCTCGGTGTTATTGTGACTCCTGCTTCTAGTGGGCTGTAGCAAAGCAGTCACTGAACCTTAGAATTCTGGTCCCCCTTTTCAGCACGCTGCATCTTACACCAGTTACATATTTGTCTCCATTGTCAAACGCAAGGCACTGCTAGATGCTGAGAGCAACACACTGATGCAAAAGACTTGAAACTTGCCCTTAAGGAGCTAATGTGGCCTGAAAGTGTAAGTTCATAAACTATTGTAATGCAAAGTGGGATGTGATAATGTCATAGAAAAGTTACCGTAAAAAAAAAAGTTTGCTGGATTTTTAAAGACAGGACATCTAATTGAAAATTTCTACATAGAATAGGGTCTTTGGAGATGAGTCTTGAAAGCTGAGTGGATAGAATGAAAATGAAATGTAGGTCTGTCATGTGAATTAAGGCACTGGGACCTGATGGCAGCTTCAGAAGCTGGGATTTGTGCGGTAGGTTTTGAGGAGCTGTGGATGGGAAACTCTGGTTGAAGTAGAGCTTCTTAATCCTAGCTGCACATTAGAATCACCTGGAGAGCTTGGGCAACTACTGATGCTTGATTTAATTGCTTGATTTAATGGCCTGGGTATTGAGATTTTAAAAAGCAGCTCCCCAGGTGATTCCCATGTGCAGACAAGATGGAGAAGAGTAACCTAAAACCTGAATCATTATAAAATCATCTCTCACCCCATTTACAAATGTTTACACTGGAAGAAACAGAAACTTAATTGTTTAGCATTAAATAAGGTAATGTGCAACGACCTAATACAATATATAATAGGCACTCAATGAATGTAAATTGATTGTGACTTTCATTCTTAGTTTATTTGGGAGTCACACATCTGAGAATTTGGTTTCAAAATTACCGTTTCTTATAGGATTTTTACGTAAAACTTCAGAGTGTTCTTAGGATTCTCCATAACCCATTTATCGACCACCCTCCACTTCCATTTACTCCCAGTTGAGAAGTCTGGCTCTAAAATTTTCAAAGTAGAACTTGAAAGTGTGTGTATATGTGTACCTTTGCACGCTTTTGTTCTGTTTTTAAATATCTTGCTGTCACACTTAAATTGACCTAATGTTGAGTGTCCCTAGCAGGATTAATTTCATAGCAGGTAAGAGGAAGAACTGGAGGGGGATAGAAAATGAAAGAATAGAAGAAGCCAAAGAGGAAGGGAGAAACAAAAACAAAACAAATCCAATAAGATGCTTAGATGTTTATTATGAGACGTGGTGTGCTCAACTCTCATAGGATGTTGGTATTCCACCTTGACTCCTCCCAGGGCTGAGGGCAGTCAGATAAGGCTTCTCACACTGCTGGGGCCTTGCAAACCACTCCTTTAACCACATGGCTCTGTTAGGCTGTCCTAAAGAAAGTAATAGGCAGCTGTAGATTAAGATTGACTATATGTTAGGACGTGTTTGACCTAACTGGTAATAATGGAACTTTGGAATTAAAATTTGGAGAGGGTCCTGACACCATCTTCTGGGGTTTTTTGTTTTTGTTTTTTTTCTGCAGATGGCAGGATTTCTATAGTGTATCTAGCATGAGTTCCAGATCTTGGCATTTTATCCACCTTCGACACTCTTATCTCCACCTCCTGGAGAATAAATGGGATTTGCATGAATTCCACATTCTGAATTGAAAGACAGACTGCATTGCTAATAGCCTTTTCTTCTGATTGTTAATAACAGGTACTAACTCATCTCAACTAGAATATGTTAGTGTGTTCTGTTTGGGATGGGAATGTAGCTTAAGCAGAACCATGATGATCTGCTGGGAAAAAAAACAAAACAATTTTTTTATTATTATTTATTTATTTATTTTTAAAATTTTTTAATGTTTATTTTATTTTTGAGACAGAGAGAGACAGAGTATGAACGGGGGAGGGTCAGAGAGAGAGGGAGACACAGAATCTGAAACAGGCTCCAGGCTCTGAGCTGTCAGCCCAGAGCCCGATGCGGGGCTGGAACTCACGGACCGTGAGATCATGACCTGAGCGGAAGTCGAACGCTTAACCGACTGAGCCACCCAGGTGTCCCAAAAATTTTTTTTTAAATGGAATCATTTTAAATGAATTTGTTCAAATTTTGAAGTGTCACCTTTTATAATGTCCTAACTTTTCAATTGTGTATGCTTAAATTAAAAAATGTTAGTCAAGAGGGGGCATTTGCAAATCCAGTTATAGTCCAGTATTTTAATTGACAGAAAGGTAATTTTTTGTTTTAATAAAGTAATTTTCACAGATTCTCCTTACATATTTTTCCACATTTAAATTACCTGAAATTGTGGTGCATCTTTCAGTTGCTGCGATTAAAAACTATCGATTTTACATTTTAATTGTAGCATATTTTCATTCTTAGTTTCACCTGAAATAATGGTAGACCTTAAAATTATTCTTAAAAAGTCTGGTGGTATTTTAAAAGTTTAGGGGCGCCTGGGTGGCGCAGTCGTTTAAGCGTCCGACTTCAGCCAGGTCACGATCTCGCGGTCCGGGAGTTCGAGCTCCGCGTCGGGCTCTGGGCTGATGGCTCAGAGCCTGGAGCCTGTTTCCGATTCTGTGTCTCCCTCTCTCTCTGCCCCTTGCCCGTTCATGCTCTGTCTCTCTCTGTCCCAAAAATAAATAAAAACGTTGAAAAAAAAAATTAAAAAAAAAAATTTTAATGTTAGGGGCACTTGAGCATCTGACTCTTGATAACAGCTCAGGTCATCATCTCCTGGTGAGTGAGATTGAGCTCCCTGTTGGGCTCTGCACTGACAGTGTGGAACCTGCTTGGGATTCTGTCTCTCCCTCTCTCTCTCTGCCCCTCCCCCACTTGGGCACGTGTGTGCTCTCTGTCTCTCAAAATAAAAAAACATTAAAAAATAGAAAAATTTGATGTTATTTTGCTGCTTCCTCAGTTATCTAACCCTCTTATATAGTATCTGTCCCTGTAACATTCTCTAGAACAGGGTGTTCTGAACTGGGAGCCATCCCCCACTGCACCCCTGGGGGGCACATTTGACTATGTTGAGGGGGAAGTACATTTGACTATGTTGGCATCTTGTAGGTTGAAGCCGGGGGGCGCCTGGGTTGCTCAGTTGGTTAACTGTCTGACTTCAGCTCAGGTCATGATCTCGTGGTTTGTGGGTTTGAGCCCTGTGTTGGGTTCTGCTGATAGCTCAGAGCCTGGAGTCTCTGCTTCACATTCTGTGTCTCCCCCTCTCTCTGCCCCTCCCATGCTCATGCTCTCTATCTCTCAATAATAAATAAACATTAAAGAAAAATTTAGTAGATTGAAGCCAGGGATGCTGGTACATATCCTGTAAGGCTCAGGATAGCCTCCTACTACAAAGAATTGTTTGTTCCAAAAGGTTAGTAGTACCGAGGTTGAAGAAAACCTGCCCTAGAGACTTTTAGGGATTTAGAAAATTCATTTAGGGATGCCTGAATGGCTTGGTTGGAGGAATTTATGGTTCTTGATCTCGGAGTTGTGACTTCAAGCCCCACGTTGGGTGTAGAGATTACTTAAATAAATAAAACTTAAAAAAAATAATAATTCATTTGTTTTTAGTAAGTATATTACATATACTTTGACTTTTTTTTTTTTTTTTTTTTTTTTTTTTTTTTTTTTTTAAGAGTGTGAGCAGAGGAGGGGCCGAGGGAGAGAGAGAATCTCAAAAGCAAGCTCCATGCTCAGTACAGGGCTTGATCCCATGACCCTGGGATCATGACCTGAGCCTAAATCAAGAGTCAGACACTCAGCCGACTAAGCCCCCCAGGGGTCCCTACTTTGACTAATTTTGTGAGCAAGGCAATTTGCTAGGATTGGTGGATAAGTCAGAATAATTTGAAAATTTTAAAAAAATTTTTAGATCATGCCTTTTTTCCCTAAATTTCTGATATCTGTTACAGTCAGCACTTAGAAGCACCACAATCATCATTTTTGAAAAAGCTGTTACTATTGCAAAGGTACTGGAGTATTAGATATGTCTATCATTTTTAGTTGAGCAGAAGATTGATAATATTGGCTAATTCTTTGCAGTTTTTTGGGTGGAACTTTAACGGTTTTTGGGGGGTGAGGGTGGGGATTGCCCCTAGATTTTTCCAAACTCTCTGCCTTTTCTATTCTTAACTGATTTGGATTAACTTAACTTCAGCTCCAGAATATTAAATGTCGTCAGAAGACCGAGAAGCTCAGGAGGATGAGTTGCTGGCCCTGGCGAGTATTTACGATGGAGATGAATTTAGGAAAGCAGAGTCTGTCCAAGGTGGAGAAACCAGGATCTATTTGGACTTGCCGCAGAATTTCAAGATATTCGTGAGCGGTTAGTTAATAATACTCTCTTAAGCAGATTTTTCTAAATAAAAGTTATTCTCGATTTGTACCCTAAATTATTTACCATCTTGTGTTTATAGGCATTGGTGATAGATGGTAGTATTACAGATTTAATGCATGTTCCTGTTTTAATTGAAAATTGGACTGAGGGTGCATAGTTTTCAATTTGATTTGCCTTTTGACCACTGAATTGGGATATTATCCTGTATATTTCATGCATCCTAATCTTCTAACTAGCAGTTTATCAGCTATGAGTCATTAGTTGTTAAACAGGAATAATAAAAGAGAAAATGACATCATGTACATGAAAACGCTTGGAAGGTTTTAAAGTACCGTGGTGGTTGTCAATACTATTTGGTTTCCAGAATCATTTCAACTACCATAAGCCTGTGACGTGCTGTTACTCTGTGACCTTTTGCTTCAGAAAAAAAACACACACAAAAATAAAAAATTGCTGCTTTTGATACAGACGTTCACGGAAGACTTTGATGCACACTTTCTCAAAATGTTTCTACTATAAAGGCATTGAGTAAAGAAAGTAAGTGTAATAATCTAAAATGAAACTTTGTGAGAGTGTTGTGTGCTGTATCTTGCCCTCGAGCCTGAGATCGTTGTGTTGGCACAAATTCTCCCAACTATGATTCATGGGAAGTTGGCACATGCTGGTCTAAGTAGGTCATAGCTCTTGGATAGAAATAAAAATCCTTTTCTCTAGATAGTGTCTTTAATCATCTACTGTAAAACAACAACAAAAGAAAACATTGTGTATTACTTATTAGTGTTAGGAATTGTACTCACAAAAAATGTACAAGAGTAAGTTATGTGTCTTCCTTAGAAATGTCATGGTGCTTAGTAGATTTTTCAAGGGTTTATAAGATTTTTTTTTTCTTTTTTTTAAAGGTGGTGGCTATGAAGTTATAATTAGGAAATAGAAGGTGCTTTGGGGGAGGGTTTTTATCCCCTCAGCTAAAGCGTTAGTCTTTCTTGAGCACCTGCTCAATAGTAATGGACACTCAAGTGTTGACCGACTGATTCTTTCTAATTTTTGTTTTTGGTTCAGGCAATTCAAATGAGTGTCTCCAGAATAGTGGCTTTGAATACACCATTTGCTTTCTGCCTCCACTTGTGCTGAACTTTGAACTGCCACCAGATTATCCATCCTCCTCCCCACCTTCATTCACACTTAGTGGCAAATGGCTGTCACCAACTCAGGTTAGACCCGAAACTTAATTTCTCCTATCCATTTTTAGAAAGTTAAAAAATCATCTTTAATTGAAGACGACTACCTTGATGATCTTGAATTCAGTGCATGAAGACCAAATGGCTTTGATTTTGTAATTTTTTCCCCTTGCCTTCATGAAACCTAATGTTAATGAATTGAAAGTGGTGTTTTAGAAAGGAACGGCAGTAATTAGGATGACTGATCATTGTGAATTGCAGTATGAGTAATTTTTAATCAAGTATATATATTTCTTCTTCTCTTGCTATTTTTCCCATCTAATCTGTATTGTAATAGAGACTATAAGGTCCTTCTCGTTTTCCTTAGATGTCGGCATGCCTTTTTTTTCTTAGTTTCTTATCCATTCCTTAAATCAAAGATTTAACTGTTATTAGGAGGGCTAAAGTTGTGCTGATGTAGTTAAAATAAACAAATTAGCTACGTAAACAGAATAAGTGCTTTTATTTTTAGAGATCTGTATGTTAATAACAAATAATTGTTGACTGGTCTCACATGGATGTAAATACACACAACTAGAAATGTGTATGTTTCTCCTATGTCACGAAGAGGTCTCCTATCTCTTCCTGTACCTTCTATTTCACGAAGGTTTGAGACCTTATATTACGAACCTTGTATTATGAAGCCTTCATTTCCTCCGGCTTATATATCCTTTTCAAGTAATAACCTCGACTCTTGATTGAGACATAAGTATGACTTGAAGCTAATATAAAGCCTTCTGAGATAGATAATGGATCAATAGCAGCTACTTTTCTACAAGTCGTGATGAAGATTGATAGGCTGATGTATATTAAGACAAAAGCTGTCAGAGTTCCTTGACCTCAAGGAACAGCTTGTCAGGTTTTCCTGTTTGATCATGGAGTTTTTATTCCACCCCACTGACTAGTCTAATCTTTGAGTGCTTTTGTAAAATTGAGCTTATGTTTTAAAAACAAAATTAAATTTTACAAAAGGATAATACATGTAGAATAGAAAGGAGTATTATTACCTTACATTCTGATATCTGGGCCAGAGGCAATACATGCAAGGCAGTGGATTATTTGCCCAAGAGTGTCAAGGCTGTTTGACATTTAGATCACTGAAAGCTGACTGAATTATTTAGATATTTATAATCACATTTCTCCAGAGAGCTTTTGATACTTTGTATCCATGCCTGTGTGCACACACTTACACACAAGCACAAAACAAGGACAGATAAACTGAGTGCATGGCTGCAGTTTCAGATTCGAGCCAAGTAGCATCTCCTTACTGCTGGCTTTTGGGAGTGTGGGGAGAGGAGGGTTGTTTGTTATTTTATGTGTTACAGCTGAAATAACAGTAGGATTCCCTGTCAGATAAATTGTTATGCGTATAATTGATCTTTTAATTGGCCTTGTATTCCTTCTTGGTTCAATTCTTGTTGGTTGTGAATGTCACCTGTTGATAGTGAAGTTGACACATGGTCCTGTCTGTCACTGGATTGGGGTTGGTAGAAGGGAAGTGGGTTTAACCTCATAGTATTTTCCATTATGCCTCCCCCGATATATATACATACACATACACAGTCTCTCTCTTATTCTTTCCTCCTTACATTTATGTGTACCCCAGCTGCCCCTTTTGAGAAGGGGTGGAGAAAAAAAGAGGATTGAGAATGGTTCTTTGGACTTGGTGGCCCAAATAGCACTCAGAGTTTCCCTTTTCGTATTTAGTACATTTTACACATTTCAGCAGGTTTCTCAAAAGTATGATTGATCTTATAAGCATATTCATGTACATGTGAAAAAGCATTTTGAACGGTATTTAACATCCTAAGTTTTTAAGTTCAGGAAGTGTTTAAGTTCGTGCTTATATAGGGTTTAGTGAATGGCACTGTGCAGAGCAAGGAACAGAAAATGTGGTCCTTTTTCACTTGTTATTTAAATTTACAAAATTTGTCTGCATCTGGAAGGCTTATTTTTTTGTGTTTAGCTAAAAAGAAAAGCTGCTTATAATTCCTGAGCTCTACTTACCAATATTTTACATTTCTAATGGAAAATCCTCTTACATTTGCCTTTCAAGTTGAACACACCACCTTTAAAGAGGAAAAGTCGAAGTAGTTTAAATTTGGTTGCTCAGCTTAGAGAGTGTGAGCTTTCCCTATGGCAGCCGAATCATGTTGAGGGCTTATAATCGTGTCCAGGTTCCATAGCATTCTGTGTCCCTTCATTAACCAGGATCTGGTGTAAGCTCAGATTGCTTAGTTAAAACCAGCTTATAAATCTGAATAACAAGGATTCTGAGGTTGGATTCTGTTAGTGACTCTTTCTCTTGAGTTGGCTGTTTGATAGGACTGAAAGCTAGAATTAAAAACTTGGACGATATTTTTAAACTGCCCTCTTTCTATTATGCAGGGTACCTACAGGGCTAGGACTCCAAAGGAATAGGAATAGTTCATTTTAAAATTAGCTCTCTTTCTCCTACATGAGCTATGTAGCAACACTAAAACAAAGAACAAATAAAGAATCGAAAACTCCTCCACCTTAGTGGCCCCTATGTAAACCTGTGCCCTTCACAGCCTTGCCATGTCTCTTGTTTTCATGGTACTTCTTTTAGTTTTTGACTTTGTTTTCTGCTGTGACTCACATTGTTGGATAGTTTAAGAATATAAGAATATTCTTACTCTTTTTCCAGCACAGTTTATCACAGCAGTAAAACAAACAAAAAACATGTTTGGAATTGTAAGGGCCTAACTTAGAGGTTAAAAAGATTTCAAGAGAAATGAGGAGTTGACAGTATCCTCCTCTTTCCAAACTCACCAGCACCCTCGTGTGTTTCCTCCTAGCTGTCTGCTCTTTGCAAGCACTTAGACAACCTGTGGGAAGAACACCGTGGCAGCGTGGTCCTGTTCGCTTGGATGCAGTTTCTTAAGGAAGAGACCTTAGCATACCTGAATATTGTCTCTCCTTTTGAGCTCAAGATGGGTTCTCAGAAAAAGGTGCAGAGAAGGATGGCTCAAGCCTCCCCCAGCACAGACCTAGCTTTTGGAGGAGCTGCTGGATCCGATGTTGACCAAGAGGAAGTTGTGGATGAGCGAGCGGTGCAGGATGTGGAATCACTGTCCAGTCTGATCCAGGAAATCTTGGACTTCGATCAAGCTCAGCAGATTAAATGCTTTAACAGTAAATTGTTCCTGTGCAATATCTGTTTCTGTGAGAAGCTGGGTAGCGAATGCATGTACTTCCTGGAGTGCAGGCACGTGTACTGCAAAGCCTGTCTAAAGGACTACTTTGAAATCCAGATCAGAGATGGCCAAGTTCAGTGCCTCAACTGCCCAGAACCCAAGTGTCCTTCGGTGGCCACTCCTGGTCAGGTAATCCTCTACTCTCTTCAAAGCTGCCTCCCGTTTCTCTTTCCCAAAGGGAGATGTTTTCTCAGGATTTTCCTTGCTAGGGCTCATCAGGCCAGGCTGAGGCCTTGGAGCCAGCCCACAAATAGTTTCACTGTATCCATCAAGAATGCTGGGGTCTTATTGTTGAAGCCAGTGTAAATGCTTCCTTTGCTGGACTTGGAATGGGCAGTTCTTGGCAGAGATGAGTGTTAGAAAAGTAATTATAAAGTGTTCGGGTGATTTACTTTGTTTATCTCCTGGAATCCCATCAACCCTGGAGAATCACTAGCCTGCCTTTGTGTGAGGTTTGGATCTGAAGAGCATATCCTTGGAATGGGTAACAGTCAGGGACAGGGTACTTGGCTTGACTCTTTTTTTTAAATCAACTTTGTTAAGCCATCACTATACCCATTTTTTGTTTTTTAATGTTTATTCACTTTTGAGAGAGACAGAGACAGAGCTTGAGCAGGGGAGGGGCAGAGAGAGAGGGAGACACAGAATCCGAAGCAAGCTCCAGGTTCTGAGCTGTCAGCACAGAGCCCAACGTGGGGCTCGAACTCACAGACCACCGTGAGATGATGACCTGAGCCGAAGTGAG